ATCATCATTATCATCATTATAAACTCATATAATTGGTAGTCAATAGTGAGGCGTGAGTATCATGGCGATGATGTTTCACTCAATTACATAGCCACGAGTTACAGTGAAATTATCCAGTACGCAAGCATTTATTCTCCATTGCGATCCATGTCACTACTTATCGTCGATATAAGTAGTTTTCGAGGTAATTAGTCATTTTTTGATAAAAACTTGCAGCATCTTTGATTTTGATGGCAAATCGACAATTCCAGTAAAATTTGTCAATTTGCTCACATCTACTCTGTAATTCACGGGAATTTGTGGATGTGTGGCAGAGTGATATTCACAACCAAGGATCAAATAGCGTTGCAGATGTTGTTGTTGTTGTCGCTATTGATGCTAATGATGATGATTTTGATGAGGAGTCGAACGCGAAACTGCAGTCGAGTCGAGTCTGATTAAGAGGGCTCTATAGAGGGCGGAGCTAAATGAAATTTAGAGAATTGAGCCTGGCCTGTCTGAGACGATTAACCACGCGGAATTGGTACAGCAAGACCATCCAACCGAGTCCCTTTCTTGTCCTGCCCGCAACAATTGCAGCCTCGAATCTTCTGCTTGCAGGACTGGTTGGACCGTTGATGTGGATGTGCCCATGTCAAGCCGGCAAGTGGAGACATTTTCAAGAGACCGGCGAATCTGTAAATCCTCCTTTTGGCTGCCGGTCTCCGAGCGAGCCCTGCACCAAGTCAGACCAGAGACTAGCCATTTAGAACTGTGCCATCTCTTTGTGGGATGATTAACTGGTTCACATGATGGTCACACTTTGTGTATATCCCATTGCACACTGAAGGCATAGCAATAGAGCTGGACGTATCCTCGGCGAGATGGCCCATTGACTCAAACACATAATCGAGATGGGATGGGCAAGAAAAGATGTTGTCCTTTTGTACACTTGCCCAACACCATCATTGAACTTTCGCACGCACACACACACATACAGGCAGACGTGTATACGCACGCACAGGGAAACACTCACATAACATCCAATGGGGACTGAGTGAAAATCAGATCAAATCAAGCCGGAATTTTCTACAACAAACTCGGGCCTTTTTGTAGGAATAGTGAACGGTTCAAAGAATGGTCACACTTTCTGTGCATGTGATTTCCCACCGAGGGCCTAGCAACTCGGGCGTAGCCCTTGTTACGCAAAAGTATTGATGTGTTTCATTACATCAGCAGTTCGTTACATCGAAACTATGATGACCGGGGATATATGCTACACGCGCCTACATGCATACATGTGCCCACACAAACTCACATAAGCATACATGGACGCACGTTTGGATGGGCATAGAAATGAATATATCCAATCATTTTATTCCTTCTGAAATCAATTTGATTTTGTATTTCTGGTCGTTGTTTGCGTTCGAGGCAAGTTTGATTACATTCTTAGAATGCATCCCAGCTCTGATTTCGTCCGTCAAACTTTATGACAGACGAGAGGCCATCATATATGTTTTTTTTGGCTGGATTTTGATACCGTCATTGTGGTAGCCGCCTTCGATCTTAGTGAAAGTGTGCTGAC